AGTCCACTGTTGGAGGTACAAAAGTGAAGCTTTCGCAAAAGAAATTGGGAGAAAAGCTTCGCCTTCCCAATTCTGGAGTTGAAGTTGGGAAATTTCCAGTCAAAAATCTGGACTGGAACATCATTGGAATCTCTGGGCAAGTTCCTTCTGGCCCAGCGAAGAAAGCAGATCTAAACAACGATTACAAGTTGGTTTTGGAACTGGTCATCGCTTGCCTCGAGTGTGGAAGTGGAGGTCATGCCGATGACATCACCCAGGAGAGAGCCTTCATCATCAACTCTCTCATTACCAAAACTAAGGTAAACTGAGCTGCACACTTTTTCAAATCCATTTCAAAACATCTAGGAAAGCACAATCAGAAATATCTCTGTCAAGGTCTGTATATTGGACATATTTTGGAATCTATGGGCGCTGCAGTTAAAGGGAAAAAGTATGAAGCCAGATACTGGCTGTACTACTTATCCTCCAAAGGAGAAAACAGAGCTAGTGCTAGTGCCACTGCAGAAGAAAGCTCATCAGACAATGTTCCACTCATCAATTTCGCAAAGACTACCAAGAGAAAGCATGTGGTGTCTCCTTCTCCCAGTGATGAAGCACCACAGAATCTTGCTCCAATAAATCTTGAAGAAGAAGAAGAATCCTCTGACCAAGGAGAACTTCAAAGGAAAAAGAAGAGGAAGATCCACTCTCCATCAACATCTGGAAATGTCAATCCGGATGAATTAAAGGAGAAGGAACCTGCTGAGGAAACATCTGCTCAAAACCGGGGCCCTCAACAACTTGAAGAAGAAATTCCTCAAGTCCAAAGCCTTCCAACCTCATCACCTCAACCTCAAATAGATGATGCAGATAACCAATTCTGGCAGCTCTACTATGGTTGGAAAGCCTGGAAAGTTGGAAATTGAGCAGAGCAACTGTTGAATTGGGACCAACAACTGAAGAATGAGAAGATCATCAAAAAGTGCTTAGGAATACCAGTCAACCACAACTGTGAACAAATTTTGGATGACTACTGGGTATGGCAAAGGAATCCTGAAGACTTGCATCTGGAATACCTGGCCAACACACCAGTTTCTGACTTTGAAGCAGATGATGAAGATCCTGCAGTCTTCAAGTCAATCTTCTCAAAAGACACAGAAGATCAAGTGGTTTTCACTTCTGAAGCACAAGGTGTTTTGGAAGCAGCAACTGAAGATTTCCAAACACTTCCGGAAACCTCACATGTTTCTGAAATGGTTCTAACTGAAGTTGTAGAAGAGAAGGCAGCCTCTCCCTCACAAGAACAGAACCAGGAAACAGCAGATGAAGAAGAATTTCAGCCACTAATCCAATCTCAAGTTTTGGAGATTCCCAGCACTCCTTGTGAGATCTCCAATCCTACTGAAATTGAGATCCCGGAAAAGTCAGCAGAAATTCTGGAACAGTCAGCTCTTCCAGAAACAGTGGAGCAAGCTGTTGAAGCACAAAGGAATTCTGGAGAAGCTGCAAAGGAAACTCAAATGGCAGAACTAGAGGTCTCTGAAACTCCAGTAGCCATTTTTGAAGAAGAGAATACAGCTGAAGAAAGAGACTCCCTCTCTAGGGATATATCAAATTTTGCGCTTGAAGCAGAAGGAGAGTCTGAAAGAACACTAAAGGTTACTGATGAAGAAGATGTACAAGAAGATGCTGAATCTCTTCCTATGCAACTCTTCCAAAGAACACCATCATCTCATCAGGTAACCAACTTTCATTTCCATAGCTCTTCCATCCCTGCTCTTCCGGATGAGATACCGGAAATCTGGACAAAGAAGGTCCAATGGCTGATTGAATCAGCCCTAGTATCTCAACATGCCTCCTTTAGGCAAGAGATAGAGCAAATGGAAGTCAGGCACACCCAGCTAATAGAGAAATCTGAAGGAAAACACAGCGCAGATCTCAAAGAAATAAGCAAATCAGTGCAGAAGACTTTGGAGATTATCTCTCTATTGAGTGAAACTATGAGCAACACGATGGAAATATATGCTTCTGACAGTCAACTTCAACTCAAAGAGATCAACAAAGTCAAAGAGCAAATAGCGAGTGTCACAGTTAGTCTCCAAAAACAGATGTCCCTTCTCCAAATGGACATCAGATCAGCCCTAGCAGTAGCTTCTGCAAATCAGGTAGTGACCAAAGACTACTTGAAGGTGATCATTGACAATCAAAAGGAAGCATACAAGCTGTTCAGA